CAGAGACAGAGCGGGGTACAGAACAGGCAGATCGATGAAGTACACTGCTGAGGGGAGCAGCGGGTGGGCCAGGAGAGGTCTGCCATGCCATGTGGTCTCCTCCGGGGCAGGCGGGAATCGAACTCATGAGGAAGTGGCTTTAGCTTCTCAGTGCTGTGCTTTAACCCGCTGTGCTACCAGGGAGGGCCTGGTCCTTCCTTTTTAAGATGAGAAAATTGTTACTTTCTTTTGAACATTTACTCCTGTTTCTTCGTTTTGTTGGTATAATCTGGGATTTACAACTAATTTATTCTTTTCAGAGATTATATTACATTATATACTTAGGTAGATGTATCCATATTTTGATTTTACTACTTCTTAATCTTTATTTTAATTTATTACAAAGTAGCTGGCATAATCTTTCCTTCTCATTCATTCTTTCCTTTAACATGCAATTCAAGACAAGTTTTCTCATAGGAAAACAGGTAAAGTAAAAGGAAAATGTTCTTGAATCTCAAAAATCCTTGTCCATTATTTTTTCTTTAATGTTACTTTGAATTTTTTTAGCATTACTGACAACAGTAGAGTTTAGTGCTAACTGAGCAGTCTCTGGAGTCAGCCTGTTTTAAAATACATTCTCTCTGATTTACTAGTTCCGTGATCCTGAGCAAGTTAAGTCTGCTTTGCTTCTTACCTATGCCTGTTCAGATTCAGGTATATCTGTATCTTATTTGAGTTAGGTTGAGTTTCAGCAGCTGGGTTATAGCTTAAGTGTTAAAGTTGTAGCAAGTTGTATTACAGCAAACTTTTATCTAGGGCTTTAAGCACTGCTGGGGGCTGGGGTGGGAAATTGAGGTGTTTTGGGGAAATGGAGTTGGAGAGATGGTGGGTGGGGATAGAGAGTCAAAGAATAAAAAAAGCCAAGGAACACTGGGGGAGGGTAGGTGTACTTCATACAAATGATGTTTCAGTCAGTGTAGTGCTGAAGGGTTGTTAAGAGGTGATGGGCAGAATTTGTCCTGAGTTTGACTTGTCAGTATGGTTTCATGTCTTCTCATCTGTGAACATGTCTGTGCATGCCTGAAAGGGGTCCTGGGACACACCTAGCACCATCTGACCGTCAACAGCCTCCAGACTGTTTGTTCTGGTCCTGTGTACATTTTTCTTTATTTATCACCATTGGCTTAATTACATTTATTGCAAAGGAGAGTGGGTTTTTTGAAACAGCTATATAAGCTGCAGCTGATTTATTAAAGTACAACTTTCATTTTTTCGGAAATAGTTGATTAAGATTTCAATCTATCATTTGTCTTCTGAAAAGGCAATTTCATGTTTACCAATAACCATCATTTGATTTTCTTATAATGGAGGTAGAACTGCCATAGTCTGTTAGTTTCAAGTGTACACATAATGATTCAGTGATCGTATGTATTGTAAGATTATTAGTGGGCAAAGTAAGGGGCACGCCAAGATCCCAACCTGCATGCTGTAAAGGGTTTCTGCCAGTCTCTTATTCGCATGAACTTTAATGAATGGTTGTGCATAGAGAGGGAATATGGGAATGGATGTAGTTTCCCTGTGAAACACCCAAAGTTACCTGTCCCCTCGTGAGCAAATGCCCAGTCAAGCACATTTGGCTTGAATAGGTCCCCCGAGGCTCCAAAGCTTGCCACCTTCCAGCAGGGAGCCATAGGAAAGGGGAAGAAAGGGCCAGCCAAGTATGGATGAAAGTAGCAACATAAAGTACAAATCAAGATAAAGGCTGCCATTGTCAGCCTCCCCATATGTCTCACATCCATGTATTCCTCAAATGTCCCCCAGTCCCTAGTATAAGTCCAAAACAGATGCAGATACTTCCTCCTTCACATGTCTCTGCTCTTCAGGTCTCCTGCTGTGTCTTTCTTGTGTGTGTCCCCCAAATCTCTTTTAGCTTTCTTTGCTGCTCAGCTCCAACCTTCATTCAGTGGGGCAGGGAATATGGAACCTCCACTTTCCATGGAGAGTCCTCCGTTACAAAATGATCACCACAGCAAGTCCAGTCAATGGCTATCACCAAAAATGTTATGTTTTTCTTGTGATAAGTGCCGCGCCAGCATGACAGCAGAGATGGTCTGAGCGAAGGACGTCAGGATTAAAGCACACACTTCTTGGTCAGCAAGCAAAGGCACACCTTATTCTTCTCTCCTTCCCTATTTATCCCCTTCAGCCTGGAGCCTGGGGCTGGGGGTAGGCAGAAGCT